TTTCAAAAGAATGCCGATAAACTGTGTCGTCGGTGGCTGTTGTCGCAATCAAAACAATTCCCCGGACAGCAATTTTTGTAGATTCCAAAGTGACTTTTCACACCAGAGTTTGTGGGTTAGATTTGTGGATAACACACAATCAGATATTTATGAGGACTCAAAATACATGTGCATGTTTATGTACCGGTACACATACTGGTCAGTACTGACACTGTACATCCACACATGTACTACGCATACGATGTAAAATGGAACTATATTGCACTGGCGCACGTGGACTATATTCCAGTGCAAATAATGCTGCATGGTCGTCTCGTGACGCGTCTATGCCAACAAAGATACTGATGCCAAGCAAGTGACTTGCAGTGCACGGTGAAAAAATTGTTGGAATGAAACACCAACTTTGACAAAGTACATGTAGGCTAGCCTATAACCAAAGACAAAAACTACTTCTACTATACAGATATCGAACAGATATCGAATGGTAAGACAATAACGTCTTTTCAGAGAGACAAATTTTTATAACGGTGCAGGAAAGAATCATGACCAGTCAGTGTTTTGTTGTTGATCCTCCGAGTCCCCGCCATGCCCGGGGCCAACAGCCTTGAGTGGCAAAATCTCTTCCCGAGTGTATTCTCGTTTGAATTGACGAGGCAATATTTCTTGTGCCTCATCAACTCCTTCAATGTCGCTTTCTTCGTCAAAGGAATAAGACAAACTTGACAAATGATCGCTGCCATAATCAGAAAAAGCATCAAAGCTGGAATTATTGCCATTTTCAAGAGTCTGACATTATTGCACACGGTAACACTACTACATGACCTGCATGTCGACACATCGTTGCGTAACAGTAAACAGTCACTTGATAAAGGACTCTGTCCTATGACGTCACAATTCTTGGGAATTTCTTCAGACAATTTTCTGTACCCGACAGCTGTTGTTTAGCTTTTGCTCTGAGAGGGGAGTGGTGCCTGCTTGTTTGGCTCTTCAATTTGCACTTCCACTTTTTTATTTTGAACTCCCGCTTTCCCAATCCTACCTAAAACCCTGAGGAATTTCCCCCAAAATGTGTCCCTTGTTGACCAGAATGAATTTAACACCAAAGCCTTCTCAAATTGATCAGATATCATCCAAGAGATTTGTGTGATTACAAAAATGCAGGAAATTTCCAGGGTGAAATAAAGGTAAACATGCTCTTTAAGGCACGTTGAGAAAGATTTGATGGACACCCCACACAGAAATCACATGCAACAAAATTAAAGGCCCGCATTTTCCTTTACGATATAATAAAATTCTGTGCTCCTGCACTGTAAATATTAATTAACCTTCAACTGTATCCAGCAAAACAATCTGAAGACCACTGAAAAGTCTATCAACTCCATGCACACAAATCTCCGCTAAAAGTGACTGAGAATGAGAGATCTGATGAATGCAATAATGCCAGTGCTGGCAGGTAACTTGACAATGTTGCGAGTCAAGTGTAGCTGCGATGAATTTTTCTTGGATATAATTCTTCTGCAATCTTTTACACTTCTTCAATGTACATGTATATAAACTATTTAGATATCTTTTTTAGGTTAAATATATTGCAAAAAAACTCTTAAAACAATTATCCATACTTTCGTGGACAACTGTGACCGTTGTTGCTGTGATGTCATGTGGGGAAGACAGGGTTCAGTGCATAGGTTTTCTACTCAAATTGTGAACCCAGAATTTACTTACTGAAAATATTTCTGAGAAAGGGTTGATTGCTTTCCTATTGCTGTGTACTTTAACCACTTCCAGCCGGGGGCTCCGGTACCAGAGCCATAGGACTTATATTCGGGGCCAAGGACTCCGAAATTGGAATTTTATTATAAAAAAGAAAAAAGTTGCTGGGCGTTTCTTAAAATGTTTGGGGCTGTCAGTTAAAAAGTTTAGGCCATCATTGGCCGTAAATAAATTGGTCCAAGGCAATAATGGGTTGCTTGGGCCGGTGAATTGTGACTTTATTTTATAGCCGGGGTGACCGAACTTATTTTATAGCCGGGGTGACCGAACTTATAAAAGCCTGGAATAAAAGTACGAGCTGCTGAGAGCTGCCGGGCACTGCAATCAATCCCTGTATTCTTTCAGCGCAGAGCGCTGCAATTAGCAAAGGTAATCCGTGTATTGTTTGTGCAGAGTGCATTTGTTCGCGCTGCCGGGCGCTCGTAGGGGATTATCGCTGCACTGCACCGAAGACAAAGCGCGGGCTGTGCTGGCTCATTATGCACCTGCGCCCCATGAATGACCTGGCCCGGGCGCTGCTGGCCCTTGCCACGTTGACTGACAGGGCACGGCCCTCGCTGCTTGAGAATAAAAATGCCGTGCAGTGGCTACATGTGTTCATATTGGGTATCGTGTTATTTAGAGCACAGACAACATGGCTGAAGTTATATCCGGAGAGTCCAGTTCTTCCAGTGAAAGCGAGTTTTATCTGAGTTCAGACGAAGGTTCTTCGTCTTTTTCATCACCGCCGTCACCTGCTCAAGTACAGTCAAGTACAGGAATTGACAGTGATGTAACCTTGGCGGTATATGCCAAGCGCAAGAGACAGTCCCGTATACAGACCGCCACGTCGACCAGCAGCAGTGCTGCACCGTTCTGGTGGACAGATGAAGACAGTACACCGCTGAAGTACGGCTTCGCCTGCATCGCAGCTCGACCTGCAGTGAACCCTTTGAACTGTTTTTTGACGACGTTCTCTACAACAAGATAGTGCAAGAGAGCAACCGGTATGCCATGCAGAGGCCCGCTACGACATCTGCACACATGCGATCATGGACTGATCTGAACACTAGAGAACTGAAGGCCTTTCTGGGCCTTTGCATAATGACGGTCATTGCAAAGCACCCCACCCTTCATAGCTTCTGGTCCACCAACCCACTACTGAAGATGAGCCTATTCCCGTCCGTCATGCCCCGAGATCGCTTCCTTGCCATCCTGCAGTCCCTGCACTTCAACGATAACATCGCCATGCCAGATGACTGCACCGACCACCTCTTCAAAGTGCGCCCAGTCGTTGACCATCTTGCTCAGAAGTTTGCCACTGTCTACGTTCCTCAACGGGACATATCTGTCGACGACTCCCTGCTGAAGTTTTACAGGCGTCTCCGCTTCGCTACCTACAACCCTAGAAAGAGGGCCCGCTTCGGCATCAAGATGTACAAGTTGTGCCAGAGCACCGGGAGTGCTGCTGGGTACTGCTACAACTTCAAAATCTACACCGGCCAAAGTAAAGGAGACCTCCCAGCAACTACGCAATTGGTGATGGACCTGGTGAACGACCTAACTGG